GTTCTTCTGGGATCGAGTCATAGAGTTGACCGGGAAACCTGTGATATCATTGCCGTCTACGACATATAGCAGACGGCATCTGCAGCACAAGTTAACGATATGACATTAGGGTTGTATTGCATCACTAAATGTTGCATCATTCCACCTGGTAACCATGCTTATGGCATTCACTTCCCTCTTCCTCTATCTATCTCTATCCATCGCTGTTGATCACACTTCTGACTACATGTATGTCTACCATTTACGTGGAAGTTGAAATGTTACGTAACCAACGACAGTGAATGGATTGCTTATGATTGTACCTGAGATCTCCAACCCTAGTAGAATATGGCTGTTATTCTTAGCTTTAAACATACTAGCGCAAGTACGTAGTGCTATTGCCCATGAGAGGATTTGATTTCCCCGTCCATTTTGTGGTAGTCCATACAGAAGTGTGTGTGAACAAATAATCATAACAGTACTAAGTACGTACATTGTCTTACAAAACAGTTCCATTTAATGACTTCCATTTATAGTACTGGAGCAAACATTGTTCAAGGTAGGTTCCTTAACCTTTTACCTGCTATACAGCTATCAGTATATTCTTTGTACGAAAGATTACCACTTTAAGCTCCACTGTATTTTACATTACAAAACATGCCGTAAACTACGACGTTGCTCCACAGGTTGCCCGCGTTTTGTAATATTCCTTCGGTCCGGCCTTCTGAGTCCGTCCATGTCCATGTATTGCGACAATCTGCGAAACAAAAAATACCTCTTAGACGGCTGAATGAGCAACCGGCTAGTAAGAAGTCTAGGTAGAGTAGGCAGCTTAGGAAGCACGGAAGAGTAACGGAAAAGTGTCGGAGTGGAATAGGAAAGTAAGGATAACCGAAATCTAAGGGGATCGACCTCTTACCTGTTAACGTGTTACCGTGCTGCCCGCGAACCGGATACACTGTTGCGCACTTTCGCATCTCTCGGGTTTTCGCCGGCTTATAGGCCTTCATTATTTCACGACCTTTGTCTCAGCATAGTACTCACATACCACAGACTTTGTTGCCTTACACCAAGGTTCGTAATAAACTATAGCATTCAACTATAGCACTCAGAACACAAAATATTATTTCCGTAAACTGGATGTACTACCTAACACCAAGGAAAGTTAAAGTTAACCTCCATTGTGCAACCAACCGGTCCCATTCTTCTAGCGCGCAAACTTTATATAGCGCTTGGTAGACCGGCAGATTGCGGGTATTTGAAAACGTGAAATTTGTCCACCATCGCTTTTAGGTTAAAGAAGAAATTTATGGGCTATTTGACGCCGTAAATGGCAATTTTTTACCTGTAGAAACCCTACGTATCTAAAGCTGCGCGCCATCGCGATACTTAAAAAGATACCTACTCCAGATGAGCCTCCAAATTTAACGAGGTTACATAGGGATTACCGCCTTTAAAAGGGAGGTTACCAACGCAAAATGAGGTGACACCAGCTACATATGCAGTGTATAAAACAATTTTGCGAAAGCGTTTCCTTGCGGCTTTATACCATTAGTAAGCGGATGCTCACAAGGAGTCTTAATTAGTGTGTACATGACGTGGTTGCTGGTAAAGGTAAGTTAATAGACGAAAGAGAATCTTCCAGGTATATGAACGGGCTTATGTTGACCCACATATGCTCCTGGAATTAAAGAACTTACTGAATTGACGTTGACTTGTTAGCGTGGAATAACGCTGCATACGTAGTCCATGTGCACGGCTTATATGATTCGTGAAGCCATGTACCACCGTTATGTTAACATGATGTCAGCAAAGACACCGCATTAATGGTTCCAACAGGTACGTGAACTAATCTCCATGAAGTAAGGTTGGTGCAAGAATTTGTAACCGGTATTGTCACGTCAGTGGCATATAAATAGTTAGAACACGGTGTGTTACTGAGTGTACGGGGTACATGAAAGTCGTCAAGTTCAGGTTTAAGTGAAAGCCTTGCAACGTGTTTTATAATCAACCAACGTAGGGGAAACCAGCGCTAGCCCAGACAACTTAGTCGTACTACCTAGGAATGTACCAATTATTTAAGTAATTAAGGTCAGACTCAGTTTCACGACCAAATAGAGCAGGAATAAGAAAGGCTGGTGCAAGCGTTATAGAATTTGACTATATCAGTCCAGCCACCGCTTAGCAGCTACATTTTGGTCCGTGGACAATGCTACATGGATTCACAAAGCCCGCTGAAACCTTTTATAACTAGTCTATCTCAGCTAAGCCATCAATTGGTAGCGGTCGCTTTTTAGCTGCCTGTGCGTCAAACACGATACTACTTATAGCCACTAAGTCTGTTGCAAACGTTTTACACTTGGTTTATCTCAAGCAAGCCATAGTTAGTGTGCTCTGTTCTGATCTGTGGACAATGCTATCGAAACACAAATTCTAAAGTTATCGTTTCATATTTGGTCTAGTTTAAGCAAGCCATTGAGTTGTAGGTGTATTGAAGGCAATGTTACCTAGCTTCACCTACACTGATGGGATCGTTTTAAGCATGGTCTATCTGACCCAAGCCATCGTTTGTTAGCTCCATACTTATCTGTAGATGATGTTTCCTAGATATACAGCCTAACGTAACCTTCCTATAATTGGTACCTTCTAGGCAAGGCATCGCTTGGTGGCGCTATTCGGTAATTTGCAAAATGGTACCTAGCATCACAAAGCCTGTTGCCACCGTTCAAAAGTTTGCCTACCTTGGCCAACCCATCTTTTAGCAACTCCATTCTTATCTATGGACCATGCTACCTAGAAGCCCCTAGCATGATGGAATCAGTTTTAAATGGTCCATCTCCGTTAGGTCGTCAGTTAGTAGCTCCATTCTGACCTGAAGACGAAGCTACGTAGAATCACATAGCCCGGTGGTACCATTTTATAATTAGACTACCTCACTTAAGGCATCGCTCAGTAGCTCCAATCTGTTTTGTAGACCAGGATGCCTAGATTCACGAAACCTGCTGCTACCAGTTTATAAAAGGTCCGTCTCAGTCAAGCCATCGCTTAATAGCTCTGTACTAATCTTTGTACGATGGTACCCAGGATTACCTGGTCCGACGCAGCCATTTTGTAATTGGTCTTTCAGAGCTACGCCATCGCTTGGTAACTCCAGACTTATCTGTGAAGGAAGCTGCTTAGTTTTAAAAAGCCCGTTGCTACCATTCAATAGGTGGTCTAGCACAGGAAAGCCATCGTTTGGTAGCTCTATTCTAAACTTTGTAGAATGGTTCCTACGTTCACTTAGCCTAATGCGGCCAGTTTGTAAGTGGTCTATTT